GCAAAGAAGCCAGATCCTAAAGCCCCAGCTAGCAGACAGCCATAATCGAAGGAGTCTGGGGTGCCGTGGGGAAGTATTTCGTCTGCTTCCGCGTGGAGCCAGAAAGCTGCTCAGCGGCAGGGAGTCCGGACTGAAGACTCCTTGGGTCATGTAGTGATTTGCTTGAAAGATCTTGAAAGCAAGGTGCGACACATGGTTTCCGAGGAGTTGATACCATCCACTTGACAGGCTTAGCAGGAAGGGACGGGCCGCTGTCACAGGGACTGTACTGCGGCAGGCTGTGATCCTCAAGATAGTTGTTGTTCGCGTGTTCGCGCTTCAGATATCGCACGTGTCGGTGGGTGCAGTCTTCGAGATGTATGATGCAAGTGGTTCAAGTTGTTGTATCTTGCGACGGATCCCTAGTTTGGGCAGAAGGGCATTGGCCTTTGTGCGTGGCTCAGGCTCGGGCGGAGTGCATCTCTGCCCCTGGTGGCCGGCTTGGCCTCCTTTGTCCGCTGTCCGAAGTCTGAAGGGGCCGCAAGGGACAAGTCAGACAAGGGGGCACGGGAGGAAAAGGTGAGATGAGGGAAGTCCCATACGTTCCTGTGCCTGTTTGAAGAATTAAAATCTGTATTCAGTACCTGTCACACCCCTTCCCAGAAAAGGACCTGGCTTCCCGGAAGTTCCCTGCTCCCTCGAATCCCTCGAATGTCCTGAAATTGTTACTGGCACTAATGGCAATGGCATTCTTAAGTTTTGAAGATCCGTAATCCCTCCCCTCGAGAACTAAAAAAGATGCTGATATTGCTCGAGTGGAAAGCACCTGCACCCTCATAAATCCCTGCACTCATCCGTCACGGGCTAGTGTATCTAATCATCAGAGTTTCGCGTGACTTACAAGGCTAGCACTAGCGGCGCTGCTCATTCTCGTTGCCACTGCATTGCTGGGAATGGCACCACACGAGCAGCCTGACCTGTTCTGGTGCGGTAGAGGGTTTCGAAGGTCAATGCCTCGTGCTGGTTTTGGGACTTTCTTGTGAGGCTCTTGTGCGGTATTCCTTTCTAGTTTAACGTTGGCAACGCGAATTTCCGCATAATGTCTTGCTTGCCGACGCAGGATGGCATCTCAACCTCATCTTAAAATTAGCTCGATGCCGCACCATGTTGAAACTGATAGGATCGATGCCAGTGGTTGATCAAAGCCGAGCGTGAAGAATGCAGCGGTATGGCAAAAGCTAACTGACATGCGCAGAACTGCCGTGATGCACGACTCACCCAACCTAGATCACGTTTGCCCGGGCTGTACTGCTCGTGAGTTGATACTTGTAATATACTTTGAGTACTGAAACCCGAAGCTGCAATCCTCAAAGTGCAACCGTACATCCGGCATCCTCAGCCGTGCTGCTGTGTCAGCGAGCCGAGGTATCTGGCGAAGGGGTACAAGGACAAGTACTTTGACGGCAATGTTACGATGTGTCTATTCACCGAAAGTCAAATTACACAAAGGCCCTACCACAGTCCTGGCAGGTGCGGTGTCATCGACCACATATGGCATAGGCAACATTCGCCGGGGCGTGCGATTAAATCATCATAGGCCCTAAACCTGCTGAAGCCTAAGCCATCCGAAGCCCTGTCAGATAACAAGTTTTTCATCACAACGACCTGCTAGCCGGAGCATGTCTCTCTCTAACCACCACATCACTAAATAAGCTCTCGCGCGCGCTTTGAGCAAAACTCCGAACATTCGAAGAGTGCCACATCATCTATTTTCGGAAGCAGTCGGAACTATGATGTCGAGATGGTTCGATGACAGGCGTGTTTTCGCAATTGTGGGAGACTACACCCTAAACCCTGAACCCTGAGACCCTACAACGCGATGGCTTCTGAAACGATTAAAAATTTCAAGTATTCCTGCCATCATGTCTCGCAAGCTGTCGAGCTATTGCCGCCGCACGTCATTGGTAGCTGTCCGTTTTCATGAGAGTCCAAAATTCGTAAACATTAGCAAGGTCCTTCGACAAGTTCAGATTGTGTTGAAGCAATTGCGGGTATGTTGGCACATACATTCGTGGCAGTGTATCTCCTTTGCACATACATTTGCTTGTAGATTTTCAACAATGGGCGGGTGCTCGTAAAATTCGAGAGGGTTTCGCACACTTTTAATTGTGCCCGGATGTTGAATGTTCGCGACCGCGCCAAGAAAAAGCAAGAAATTCCTGGATGTACATGGTGCGCACATGTCGTTTTCTTTGGAAGGTACGCATATCTGGAAGTCGAGCGGCTACTGCGCAAGATGCTGTCACACAGCTGCAATCGGGACAGCCCCAGAATAGATTTGCAGCTGAGAAACCATTCCAACCGGGACGATCCTCAACACTTCACAGCTTCAAGTGAGAATCGTCCGTGAGAGAAGCTTCACTTCAACCCTGCCAAGTACCCTTTCAAAGCTGCGCTCCAGGCTGAACTTGCTCGCAGGCCTGCTCCCTGCAACGCTCAGCCCAGCGTTGCACATGGCAGGCTGTCCGGGATGTCCGAGGGCATCCGAGGGGTTAGGATTTGGGATTCCCGCACAGAGAACAAAGGTCGGGAGACGGTTCGTAATGAAAGCTTCATAATATGATCATGTACCTGCTAGGACTCCAGCTCCCTCTGAGTCATGTCGAACCCAAGATGTATCTTGCTTCATCAATCAGCATTCGTCTGTTGTAAAGGCGTCGTCTTGTTCTCAGCCTTCAAGGATTCATCGCACTAGGTCGATGTTTTTGATATTTTGGATAGCCAGAAACCTACCTCCTCACCATTCTTGTATTCACCATGATGGCCGTTCACTTAAATCTTGTCCTGGGCTTGAGTACCAGCCCCTGGTGAGAAGTGCAGGTACAACTCTAATTCTGCTTGCTGGCTGGATCGTCTACTTGCACCTGACTCCGTACGAGCAGCTCGGCGCCGGTTGAACAGTCACCGAAGTTCGAGAAAAAAGAAAGGCTGGTTGCAAGAATCTGGGCGGGACTCCGAGTTCTTGACCTCTTTTTGAGGGAGCCTAAGAGGCCTCCGATGGAACCTAAGCAATCGGAGCCCAAGTCTATTTTCGCACAATCTGCATGGGTCACTTTTGACACTCCCAATCCTGCTCCCACCATCCCCACGATCAGAACCTTTCTGCATCGGGGTTTTTTCCAGGAGGGCCCCCGGGCACGGTGCTGGGGATGTTGCCGAGTGCCTGTCAGGAGAGGGTTCTGGAACATCTCCGAGGCCTCCCTTCTCTCAACAGCGCGCCTTGGCTCTTCGGAAGATCTGGTTTTCCTATCCGGTTTGGCCACAGACACCTTGAAGTCCTGAAGTCCTTGAAGCTGCTGGAAAACTCTACGCGCAGCCATGGCCCGCACCAGCCCAAAACCCAACACTCGACACTTCCAGAAGAAGCCGCAGGCTGGTGATGACCTCCTTGGCCAGCTGCCTCATCGCGAACGATACGCACTGGGCCCAGTCTGCCTCTTGGCTAGCGGCCGTGGGAGCAGGACTGTGCCAGCATGACACTCGGAGGGAAGGGTGCCTTCCGGCTGACTCGGGAGCTTGTGTCAGGCAAATTTGCTCTTCTGGTGTTTGTGGAGTTGGTCGCCGATCTGGGGGGCATTTGAGATATCTGGGCTTTGGGGGATGAGAGATCTTCAAGGCCCAAAGCATCGGACATCACGGACCGATGGAATTCTGTAGATTGATGTGGAAAGTAGAGTCTATGTGAAACTTGCCCCTCGCATCCTGAATCCGAAGGCAGAAACTTGCACTGCCGAGCGCATCGACCATCCGAGGTACAAACGCAGCTGATATTGTTCTCGGCCGTGGCGTCATTTGCCGCTGTGGCCTCCGTGGTGATGGTCCTGCTGCCGCTGGCTTAGTTTGTGGACTTGGGTTCGGGATTCGTTGAGCTTCAGCCTTTGGTGCTGCCCGAGTGGAGCATCCTTTGCACAGAACAACGTGTTGGATGGGCTCTGCCGGTGGTGCGGCCGGAAGGGCGCTTCCCGTAGTTCCCTTCGCGTCAAACGTCAACCTCCGGAACAATTCGACAACCCAACCAATCAGTGCTCCCCCGAAGAGAACCACAGGCATGAACTTATCAATTCTCAAACTTTGAACCAATTAAGCCTGAGCCGTGAAGCCTCTGGCAGCTTTACTGTGAGCTTAGGTTCCTTGTCGAATTCCGACGCGAGCGGTGCTGTGGCCGCACTTATGTGCAAGCCCATAACGCTAAGGAGGATTTCTGCTAGTCTTTGGGACTATGCCCATAGGGACATTGAGTGGGATCTCCGAAGAACACTGGCAGGGCACGTGAATGCATGATAAAAGGAAATGAGTAGGGAAGTGCATGTATTGGGGACGGGCTTTGCCACAATGGACACTTCTGGGACCTGATTCTACGTCTATTTTTTTCGTTCAGGATGCATTCCGGTGATACCGTCGTCTTTGTCATCATCATCGTCATCATCACCATCACCACAAGCATCGCCATCACCACCATCATGTCCACATTGTTGCTTGATGGTAGAGAGCTCAGCCTTGAAACTCAAGCCTTGAGCCGTGACCTTTGATGTAGGCCTTCGTTCCTTGCAGGAGCTTGAGAAAGTGAACGACGGCCTCACACGATGCTGTGACAATTGTCTTGACGGTCAGGCTGAGGCTGCTTAAACAGGAATCCGGAAGCTGAGCGGCGCCCGTCAGACCTGAGAGGAGACAGGCGCTTCGTCCCCCGGACTCAGTTTGGCTGCGTTTGTGTACAGTAGTGAGGCCATGTGAGGCCTCGACAGGGCATGCGTGGAAAAGTGCTCTGTGCCCTGATTGGGCTGTGGATGAGAAGTATGGATAGGTAGCACACTTCAGCTCGACAAGTTTCTTTAATTCAGGGTAACCAGGCAGCCCAAGGGGTAATGTGGGGTCTGATTCAGATGAGGACATGGAACTTGAAATTTTCCGAAGCCGCCATGAAGAGAATCACAAGAGAATCCCAATTCCTCACAGCGAAGGAGTCTGCAGCCTGTGCTTTGGCTGAGAGGCTTGCAAGTGGCCAGGTTGCAGTTGGCCGACTCAAGCATGCCACATTGAGGGTATGTTTAGGGCCCCTGTGGAGACCTAGCTCTGAGCTCTAGCCAAGGTGCTGGCTTTGATCTGAAGCAGGTGGAGGTCGCAATTCCTTGCTGAGCCATGCACGAACCCCAAGCTTGATCGCAGTTGGAACTGTGCCCGAAGACCTTCCCCAAAGTCACATCTTGTGCAGGCGATGTTGGCATTGCAGAGCCTGTCCGACACTTCTGCGCAGGCAAGCCGTGTGGGCCGCGTGCGGGTGTGTGGGTGCGTGGGTGTGTTTCAGTTTCCTGGATACTTGCCAGAAGGTGAAGAGGCAAAGCTGTCGTCCATGGCAAGGAAGAGCCTGAATCACTGAAGCAGCTGCCTCTCATGCTTTGCAGGTCTTGGTGAGCAGGTCCTTGCACAGTGGGGTTTCGAGGCCCCCCCAAGCAACACTTCGTCGCATACTCGTATCAAGCAATCGCCAAGGCCTAAATTTCCCCTGGGAAGTCTGTCTGCACCATGCCTTCTGCAACGTCATTAGCTGCTTCCGCTAAAGCTTTGTCCACTTGACTGATTTTTTTGACACGCTCCTTCACTCCTTATCCTGCGTCACAACAGCACTGCAATTACGTTAAAACACGAGGTATTGGAGATTCGGCCAGACTGGGCCCCAACCCGGCTACTCACCATGCGGCTTGTAATCACCAGCAGAGACAGTTGAGACGCAGGTAGGCTTTGTGCTCAGCGAGTGGCGGGCCAAGTACAACACTGATGCGAAACCTGTGGAAGTGCTGCCTTGAAGATCCTTGAAGATCTGAGGGCTGAGAATGATATCTGAGAAACACAACCATAGCCGACCGAAGCCTAAAGATCTCGCCGTCATCTCACGGCGTAATGTGTAGCGCTGTGTGATGAGTCAACTGCTTGACTGCTCGAAACGTTCCTGTGCACCCGCCTCCCCTCCGCGGTCTTATAGTGTTCAGCGCACTGGCCTCGAAGCCTCCTGGGTTGACTTTGGAAACTCGCACTCTTCCAGGATGGGCTTCGAATCCTAGAGGTCACCGAGGTCCGCATAGGGTGGCTGCAGCCACAGGACTGCCTGGGCTCACTAAAGAGACACGTAGGTTTTTCTGCAGATGTAGGGCGCAGGGTCAGCAAAACAGCCTCAGCAATGCACTCAGGGATGCCCGAACATAAGGGCGTCAGGACAATCAAGGGTTCTCGGGGCAGAGCTCTCCCTTTGAGGAACCTTCTCCGTGGGAGTGAATCACAGCCACGAAAAGAAGCCAGATTTTCAGCAGCTCCCGCCATGCCCAGGACCAAGATCACGGCAAATGTATCTGCAAGCACTTCAAATGGTCGCGCGCTGAGACCTATGAGAGAGCCCATGCTTGAAACACGGCTGAAGCCGAATCCCAGTGTTCATGAGTTTGATAGGGCGCCCGGCTGATGTTGGAGAACTTCGTGGAATCTTTTGTAGCATGGGCAAGCCGTGTAATGTTGGACAATGCTTAGTGTGTGGCCTCGCCCCCCCCCCCTCGCCCTTTGTATACGGTCCACGGTTGTATATGATTTTAGTAGGGAGGAGTTTGTATAAGTTGAAAAGGGACAGCGATGCCCGAGAATTGATTTTAAAGGACTTGACTTCATTGCAGACGACACTCTGCGCTCCTAAACAGTCAGGGTGTCCTGAATAGCCCGGCCCACTCGACTTTGAATAGGAGGCCCCTACTAAAGCAAGTCCGACACTAAGTGTAATTAAGCACAAGGCCTCTTTGCGACCCACAACTCCAGCATTTTGCTGGCAAGAAGTTGCTACAGAGGCCTCCAGAGTGGTCTTTTGATGGACGTTTTTCCCAGCATTCAATTCAGTCAAGTTGGGTCATCGCTCAGGCCAGAATTCATGCCCGAGCACTCCACCGTCTGGCACTCGCAACGCAGTGCACGTTCACTGTGCCAGGTTTCAGGCAATCCAGGTTGTGTACTGTGTGTACTGAACCACGAGGATTGACTGTCATGATCTCATTTGCAATTGTTTGTCCTCCTTTCTTTTCAGGATCTGCAATTGAAGGTTGTCGCTCAGCCCGTGAAGAGCATGTCAAGCAGCGCACTTCAGGACCAGCATCTGTCATGAGATATTGGCGGGGAATCTTCCGGATCTGCAGCGAACACGAACCAACGAACTCGCTACACTTTGAATGCAGCAGATGGGTGCATCAGGAACCGTATTGAGGTGTAGAGAACAGTCAGGAAGTAGCAAGGGCTTCAGCTTCAACGACCATACTTCCAAGAAACCGCAAGAACTTTCGATGGGGAACTCTTCAGACCATGGGTGAATCTGCAGCCTGTCTTGACAGCGAAGGAATTGGCAATAGACTTGCAACGCATCACTTTACTTGCAATAGCTTCAAGACACGATATGGAGCTCATCTCCCGTTTTGCTGAGCGAGCCGAGGTTGTGTAGTCGACCTGGCTGCTAATGCTTTGAGCGGCCAGGGTTCTTCATAATTTGGGGCCGGGGGGGGGGGGAAGAGGCATCAAGATAATTATTCTAGAGGGGTTTTGTAATGTCATCGTGTACTGAGCGTATACTGACAATCTTGAAGGTGGATATCTGGACGTAAGATCAGCAGTGCGATAGGGAATGGTTTAAGATTGCATGCGCCAAAATTCAAGACCCACGGCATGAAGCAGCGAGCAAGTTCGACATCTACGGCCCTAGACTTTCCTAAGTAAGCAATTCATGTCTGTGCCGCTTAGGGTTCTTGGGGCTCATGATGCGGCTCATGTGGCTGTTCATTAGCTCAATGCTCCGCTGTCGCCTGGCTCGCTACGGCACGCGGAAGTGCTGCCCTGTCTCGGGCCGTGTGCAAGTTGTGCAAGTTTGGGTTGTCGACAGGAGGATCTCGTGAGGTGGATTTAGGGATGTACTGACTGGACTCCGAATCTGAGTCGACGCTCCCATGAGACGCCTGACTTACGGTTCATATATCTTCACGTTATAAAGAATTCAGTTCAGGGTTTGCGGGAACCTCTGCGTGCGACAACCCTCCAAAATTGTCATGCAAAAGGGTGGCCCCGATTCAGAATGGTGGGATGCCCTACGCCTGAAGTCCGATATCCACCCCTCTGAAAGGCATCTGGCGGCCCTAATTCGGAGCCTGCCATTTCCCCCCTTCTCAGCGACACTGCTCTTGAATGGAGGATGGCGCGGTGTAACAAAAAATAGAGCTGCCTAGCTTATTCTCCAAGAACCAAAATTGTCTGCCGCATTTACGAAATCCAACTTAACAGTCAGCCCTCCGAAGATTCCCTCTCCGCCGAGTCCCTTCACAAGCCCCGTGGGAGCTTTGAGGATTTGTCGAGCATTTCGTGCCTTTTCCCCGGTTCTTCGGCTCAAGCCTGGGCAAACCGAATCTTGGGGCCAAGCAACGGGGACCCAAGGCAGGGTTCAAGATTTGCAGTGATTGGCCTTCGAGGGGTTGAGGAGGGTTGAGGCAACGGTTGAGGAGGGTCGAGGACTGTACGCAGAAAGGACCAAGTTCCGGTGAAGAGCAGAGTACGAAGAACAGCATTGAAACACCTTGACCACCATCTTGCTCCGACTGCCCTACCATTCCTCAGGTCGCAGACATAAATTGAGTGTCTCTCAAACCTACAAATACGACCACCCTGCCCAACCCGCTCCGGATGGGGGGGGGGGGGGTAGGGGGTGTAGAAATCCAGGTTTCCAGCTCCCCCTTCTCGGCTCCAGATTGAGGGCTTGGGACCAGCTCAAAGCATGCGGTTTTCGGGGTTGATTTAAGCTCCAAGAAGTTCATAACATCCCCCGTACACTCAAGCGTGACTTGGCCGTGTACCCATGCGTGCCCTGCACTGGTAGATATTGATAGTTTCGATTTGTGCAAGCGTAACCCACGCAACCCATTGCCATTTAATAGAGATCGACAGCTTGTTTTTGGAACAAACAACAATAAAAGGTTTTTGAGATCTAGCATGCATACCCCAAGCGAACCCATTTAATGCAGGCAATCCGTTTTTTGGATTTTTTGCCTTGGGCGAGCGTACCCCACGATACCCATGTAATAGACAAAGCGCGTTTGTTGATCATTTTCTGAGGTTTGGTCTTCCCTTCCGAAACACCCAAGCAAGCATTTAGTAGAGCCATTTCTCGATTAAATCGGTTGCGTGACTTCGTGGGGTGGGGTATTCTGAAGGGGGATCTTGAAAGCACCCTAATCACTTCCCCCTTGTATTAAAACGTACCCCTGAATATAAAAACACTTTGCGGAAATCCTGCCGAAACCGACCCCGCCTGTTCAACCCTATTCCGAATTAGGGGGTGGGTTGAGGGCTCCCAAAAGCCTCCAGCCAACCAACATCCTGAAGCTCCCTTGCTCCTGAGTGGAGCTCTCTCTCTCTCTCTACTACGCTCTCAGGGTCTAAGTAATTACAAACCCTCCAACACCTGAAGCCTAGACTAGACCCTAAACCCTTTGGACCCCAAACATGACATTTGGATGAAGACATCCCCGAATAGTAAAAACACATTTCGAGTTTCTATTGCGGGCGGGAGGGGGGGGGAGCCCGTTTAATGATAGGGGGATGGATTAAAAAGCTGCAAAAACATGTGTGTCTTTCCCGGTTATGGAGCTATTTGGACGCCACCAAACAGCGCATCATGAGCATCAGTGACCTCTTCCCCACTCCGCGCATCAGGAGCATCAGCAGGACCCCCCCCCCTCCAAACGCGAGTTTGGATGATGCTCACTTTGTTTTTTGGGGGCGGGGCAAGGGCAACAAGAGTCGGGGTTGGAGGCGCGCGTGCAAAAATCTCATACAAAAATGGTATTTACAGAGATTTCAGCATTTTGAGCGTTTTTGACAGCCTTGGGGCTGCGGGCCATGATGCTCCCCTGGATTTGGGGCTTCCGGTACCCCCCGCAAACCTTGAAAAACCTTCGGTCTCAACGTCGCCCGGTGTAAGGTCGATGATGCGCGCCCGTGAGGGTTTAGGGAGTCCCGGGTGTTTGGAGGCCTTGAACATCCGTAAAACCAATGGTTTTTAACGAGGTTTTCGTGCTTTTTGCACCCTTTTCTTTGTCTAATTATTTGTTTTTTTTTCTCTCTCTCTCTCTCTCTCTCGCTTCGCTCCATTCGCTCCCTTCCTCCCTTCCCTCTCTTCTCTCTTCTCTCATTTCTATCTCTTCTCTGCCTTCTCTCCCTTCTCTTTCTTCTCTCTCTCTTTTTTTTTCTCTCTCTCTCTATCTCTTCTCTCTTCTCTCTTCTCTTTCTTGTGTCTCCCTCTCTCATTCGCTTCTTTCTCTTCTCTCTCGCTCTCTCTCTTTTCTCTCTTCTCCTGTTCTCTCCCGCTCTCTTATTCTCTCTTTCTCTCTTTCTCTCTTTCTCTCTTTCTCTCGTTCCCTCCTTCTCTCCTTCTCTCTTTCCCTCCTTCTCTCATTCTCTCATTCTCTCTTTCTCTCTTTCTCTCTTTCTCTCTTTCTCTCTTTCTCTCTTTCTCTCTTTCTCTCTTTCTCTCTTTCTCTCTTTCTCTCTTTCTCTCTTTCTCTCGTTCCCTCCTTCTCTCTTTCTCTCTTTCCCTCCTTCTCTCATTCTCTCATTCTCTCTTTCTCTCTGTCTCTCTTTCTCTGCCTTCAATCCCTTCTCTTGCTTCTTTCTCTCTCTTCTCTCCATGAACTTTGACCCATCAACCTGATCTGCAAGTTGCGTGCTGTCTTGTTCACGCGCGTCTACACATGTGTAAATTCATCGCGGCGAGTTGTGGGGGCGTGCGGGGGCGGGGCAAGCTTGACGTTTGATTCAGTTTAATTCAATTTTTGAATCAAGCCGAGATTCAAGATGCAGAATCACATGAATCAAGCCCACCTCCCCCCCCCCGCCCAATCCCACCAGTGGCCCTTATGGAGCCCCGCCACGGGCCCTTTTTCTACAGTTGATTCAGTTTTTGAGTCAAGCCGGGATCCAAGACTCAAGATTCAAGATGCTCAGGAAAACGCTCCCCCAAGTCTTGTTTCTTGAGCCTTGGATCCGGGCTTGATTCAACAGTTGAATCAACTGACTGATGCAATGGAATGAAGCCCCCCGGCTTGATCCAAAAACTGAATCAAACTGAATCAAATGAATCAAGCTTGCCCCTCTTGAAGCCGTCGAGGCCCCTATTCACCTTCTTCAGTTTTGTTTGTTAACGATGAGCCCGGATCCAAGATTCAAGATCTTTCTTGAATCTTGGATCTGGGTCAGTCTTTAGCGCAACCTGAATAAGGCGATGAATGATCAAGGGCTTCGATGGATTCAGCATTCATCACAAAGTTCCTGAGCATCTTGAAGCTTGAATCTTGACCTGTCTTTTTTCAAAAAACGAATAAAGACTGAATAAAGCTTAATAAGGATGTCCACCCTTTCATATCTTTCAATCTTGACTGAGCGTTCATGTTTAAGGAAGCTCTTTAGGAAAAGTGTTTAATGGCTAGCGGCCTGTGCGATGTTTCTGCGAGCAGAGTTGAGCTGTCCCAGGGACGAAATGACTCCAATTTTCAACGATCGGAATGACAAGCGGGCGCTTCTTGAGTGCCCTCTGGAAACCATCATAAACGATGAGGCCTAAGTTTCGAGTAGGTTGCTGGTCACATGCTCGTATGACGAGATCACAGAAAGCAAGTACATGCCTGGAAAGGCGAAGCGTGGGCTCAGAGTTGATGGCCACTAGCATGCACGAGTTCCAAAATCCTCGCATTTTGCCGTGTCTTTCCTGGCAGAGCTAGCTCCGCAAAAAGCGCAACACCTTTCAAACCACGAGCCCAAGCCTCCAAAACCATGCCAGGTGTTGACCCGGCTTCAGCAGCTGAAGCTCTGGCTGTGCGCTCAGAACACACGGGTTTCGAGGAGTCCTTGTCGATCGCAAAGGGTAGTTTGGAGAAAGAATCGACCCTCCCGCCTGGCCTCACTTTTTCAGTGAAAATAAGCAAAAAAACAACGTGATGGTCCTTGGATGTCTTTGGACAGATTCTCGGTCCCGGTAGCCAGAACTGCGCCATAAACAGGGCGCGTCGACGTAGGGGACCCAAGGTAGAGCAGCCGTGGCCTTGGAAGCTGCTGGGGTATGCTGACAGTCAGTGCAAATCAGGACATCAGTGCCGGTAAATGTTCGCACACAGCACAAACATTGAAGCAACGAGGAAGAGCATCTAGGCAGATATAGATGGTGTGGACAGAAGTTTCTTGAGCCTCGTTGGGGTTTTTGCATGCAGGTTCTAGCCCCGGCAAGGTTGCATTCTGATGTGCTCCCAATCGTAAGATTTCGTGTTAAAGCGGCTGTTGTTCGTGAAGTGTTGCCTTCATCCTGCTTTGCCTCGCCTTTTACAAGCCTGGTAAAGGCTTTATCATCTTTTCGACTGCAAGCAAGATCCCAGCAAGTTAAAGATGCGCTTCGCAGACGTTTTGGCCCTAGGTGCTAGGGTATACACTCGGAAGTAGTGCTTGAGCTAGCATATCTAGTTCCAGGACAAGTTTGACAAGCAAGTCTACGTTTGAAGCAGAACGCCACTGCTGAAAGAGTGCCAGCGACGGACACCCATGCCATGCTGAACAGAGCGGGGCTCGGCGATGCATCCGAGGCGTTCTCCGTTTGTCTGAACCGTTTGTCGCCGCATGTCAGACTCCCGGTGCAGAGGTCTGTCGCCCAAAAACCTACTGTTGGCTTGTTTGGTTGCGGCGATGACTTTGAGCATTGGCCACAGCTTTTTTGGCTTTCGGTATGAAGAGGCGAGGCCGTGCTGGCTCGAATCGGACCGGACCGGGGGCCCGAATCTCACCACGCTGCAGGGTGACAACGACGCGGACGAAGATCGAGCGAATCTAGCAGTTCCGGTGTTTGTTTCAGAAAGCATCGGAGGCAGTGATCTTCCTTTGCCGACGGATCCCCATGACCAAAACCAGCTGGAGAAGTTGCTGTCCTTACTTCGGTGCAGCGGGACGGACACGGAGGATTGCTTCCGATTTGCCAGGACGGGCTAAGAATCGCAAGCAGGTTATATTTGTAGTAATCGGTTAGTATGAGGTGGGAAAAGGAAAAGCCTTGGGCCACACCAGGTTGGCTGGCGAGGCGCGCGAGGCCCGCCGCCTGCACACCCAGAATCAACGGCGCTTTCTGCAAGACTCCCTTGCCGGCTCGAAGCAGTGCAGCGGCTTCTCAGGATACTTCGATTTACTTGTCGGAGTGCATAGGCTCACCAACTTGGATATTGTTCACAACACTACTGGAACAACGAAGTATCAGAGTGGTACCCCTATACAGCGCGCACGGAAGTCAGCCTTCCAAGCCCAGAAAAAGCAGGCCGTTGACCGCAACATCATGGTTTGACTGATCTTATTCTTATTTGGGTGATGTGATACGAGTGGAGAACATGTTAACACATGCACCTTCACGTATTTCTCGGGCGAGAACCAGCAGCACTTGGTAGATCTGCATCTGACAGTGAAATGCTAGACTTGCATGGGAAACGTCGCCTTTTGTCGCAGCTTTTCTAGTATCGTCTTGCTGTGCAGGAATCCGAGATCAACATCCTGACCTTGTCCCGATGCCGGACACTGGATGGCAGTTGACGTTCTCTTCTTGTGGTAGTGCCGTTACATGGCATCAGTGTAGTTAGCGACAACAGCAGGGCCAACTGTCGCTATCCGTGACATCAATCCATATCAATCCTGCGGCACTGTGCAGGGTAGTATTTCTTCAGGTCGGTACGCCATGGCCCGAGTCCTATCCTGGGTAGTATCCATTCCCGGGTGTCATGTCTCCAGCAAAACACAAGACCAGCTCAGGACTGGCTTCGGCCGCGCCCTTATTTTCAAGATGCCTTCGCGGACCTCAGCATCGTCGGGTTGCCCAAGACGGGCACGACGCAGCTGTATGAAATCCTCGGCTCACATCCAAGCATGAATCTAAGTCGTGGTTTTTGTGCATTTTTCCGCTTTAATTCTGTGCAATTTTGGGCTTTCGAGACAAGCACAGCAGGACTTAGTAAGTTCAAGTGACAGTGCATGGACTGCATTGGCCACTCAGGATAAGGCTGAATCCGCTCCGCAAGGAAAACTGTGCTGTTTATCCACGGACCAGACGAGACGTGTCTCTCGATGCGCCGACCAGCGAAGCCGAAGAGACTGAAAAGCGGCAACTGCAAACCAATCTGTTCCTGGGAGTGTGCTTGGACTCTTTTTCTTCTCAGAATATTCTGGGGAGGCAGATCGCCCCCTTAGACAAGAATTGCAGATCCCTCAAGTCCACACTTGCGCAGTAACATTGAGGTATAGCTTCGTGAAGTCCATGGCGGCAAGTCGTTCCTTACATGCGAAGCCACGCGGCGCAGCACCAGCGGTCACTCTGAACGGGCGCCCTTGACGGCCTCAGATTCAGCATTTTCAATATTGAGGAGGGTTTCTGAGAAAACAAGGGGGGGGCGTCCTGACCAAAAGGGAATCCTATTAGTTTGGCTTGTTTCAGGGGTCCCTTATGATCGTACACCCCGTATTTAGGTCACGCGTATAGGTTCTTAGCTCCGAGAGACTCTTTCCAGGAAGTGCAAGAGCCTCCCCGAGTGAATTCCCCAAAGCCCCCCTTCGAATGCTTCGGAAGGTGCGTGAACTTTGCAAGCGTGGCATTCACCTGGTACTACCTGAGACCAGTGGACCGCAAGTTCATCCTCCTGCTTCTCGAGTGCAGCAATGCCTCCAAAGCATTCCTGCATTCTGCGGGATACTGTTAGCTCTGCAGTTTCTCATCTCATGGTGCGGCCAAGATAGCTTCACTTAGGTTTCGTGACCCCGCCGACTGGATGTGGTCTTCCTGGAATTTCTTTGACCAGAGAGGTCATCTTGATAAAGGCGGTCTCGGCTCCCATGGATGGGTGACGAAGAGAAACTATCGCTCGCCGGAGTTGTTCCACGAGCTGACTGCCGGGCCACATTTAACAGCACGTTCCTATTCCAATGTTTTTCAGTATCAGCAAACGTGTGCCGCCATGAGCTTCGAAGTGTGCCAAATCATCCTGGTATGGGTTCTTCCGGGGTCGGAGTTCCTCTAACTCCTTAATGAAGCGCTTCTCGGTTGCAAAGTACGAGCTCGGACAAACAGAGGCCTTGCAATCTTGAAACCGAAATCTGCTGAATCTGCCTTGATCCCCTCGCCATAGAGATTGTCATGGGGGTCTGCTCAGATGTTGTGCGATTACAGCCTAGCCCTATCGCCTGGCGTTGCAAGGGCGTCAGAACACGAGCTGGGGGTAATGTCAAATGTATACCCACAACCTTACCGCAGCCCTGCTTCCGATCAGTCCTGTGCTCCTCAGTGGCATGAGATCCTGTAAGGATTGCATCCCGGTCAAAGACACTGGGCGGTCAGTGGCTGGTGAAGTGGCGATGTCGGAGCCTCGAGGATCCCAGGCTTCTGGTGAGGATGGTGGGCAACCGCAGCGTCCTTTTCCTGAAGAGCCTGTGCTACAGTAAGCTCTTGGGAGCCCAAAAGCCCTCGCAATGCCCGTGCCAACGCATGTGTGTCGCCGTACCAGTATCGCGTGATTGTGTAGCATTGCGTTGTATCGTGCTGCGCTGCATTCTACTCTTGTTATCTTGTTTGTTGTATGTCGATGAAAAGTGCCTTAACCGGCAGCAATTGAAACTCTGCTGTTCTGCAGGGGCATCTCTCTCTCTCTTCTCTCTCGCTCTCTCTCTGCCTCACTCCCTCGCCCTCGCCCTCCTCCTCTCCTTCCCCCTCCCTCCCCCCCCTGCCTCCCCCCCCTCCCTCCCCGCGACCTCCCCCCCTCCCCCCCTCCCCTCCTCCTCTCCCCCTCTCCCCCTCCCCCTCTCCGCTTCCTTGCTTCCTCGCTTCCTTGCTTCCTCGCTTCCTCGCTTCCTCGCTTCCTCTCTTCCTCTCTCCCTCTCTCCCTCTCTCCCTCTATCGGGAGGAAAATGTGTGTCTGTGTGTGTGTGTGTGTGTGTGTTTGTTCGCTGGCGGGTGTTATTCAAATTTCGTGACGGGAGGAGAAGGACTATTTGGGCTTGCAGGTGGAGGCTGGAGCAGCGAGAATTGTACAGACAGAAAGAGAGGGAGAGAGAGAGAGAGAGAGAGGGAGAGAGAGAGCGAGTGACTGGGAGAAAGAGAGACAAATGATCAGGAGAACTCAAAGGACACTCCGTCGCCGATCAGTGAGGCGGTGCGGGGCAGTAGGGAGCACTGGATAGATGGAAGAGTGTTAGAGAGAGAGAGAGAGAGAGAGAGAGAGAGAGAGAGAGAGAGAGAGAGAGAGAGAGAGAGAGAGAGAGAGAAAGAGAGAAAGAAAGAGCGGTGTATGGAATGCGAGGTAAAGAGCGAACAGGAAGATGAGGAGGCGGTGTGCTGAGTGAGAGACGCGGTGGAAACGTCTATGAAGTGCGCTTGAGGCCAGGAGAGGTCATCAAGAAGCTCTGTCCAGGAAACTCGTTCCACTCCATCTATGGGGCCAAGACGGTCAGCTACGATGGACAGGCCAAAGCAACGATCCTCGAGGGCTACGTCAAGGTCACCAGCGCAGACGTGGAGGCTGTGTTGAAAAACAGCGGCGAGGCTGGTGTTTTCATCACAAGACTTGCAGCCAATTGGCCCAGAAAGGATCCAGTGGAGTGGCATCAGCAGTTACAAGTCGAAGCCGATTGGGATTACGTCGCGAGAGTGCGTTGCCATGCCAAACAGCAAGCTTGTCCAATGGCGTTCAGAAAAGGTGGAGGCGCCAGTCTGGGAGTGCCGTACAAGGATGGCGTGGTTCCTCCCAAGCCATATGTGTGGCGAGTGAACGGCGTGCCTAAGACGTGGACGGACGAGGACTTGACTCAGTGCCTCAAAGGGGCTGACTGGAAAGACGTCGAGATCCTGCACCCTCCGCGTGGGAGAATGCCATGGCTCATTCGTGCTCAACACGCGGAGGCCGACGTCGCTGGACCCAGTGGGGTTTATGCAGGGGAACGCCTGATACTTCTCAGTCGCCCTGGTGGACGTGCTCCCGCCAACGCCGCCACCTTGCCGGCGCCCAAGAAGGGGAAAGGCAAAGGAAGGCTGGACAGAAGCACGTCGGCAAGCAACAGGACAAGGAAGAAGAGAAGCAGCAGCAGCCAGAGCAACAGCAGCCACAGGCAGCGCAGGCAGCTCAGTCGACTTTGCAGGAGGGTAAGCGAAGTGCGCCGGCAGCTGGCGACAATGGAGGAGATGGGGGTGGAAAGAGATTGAAGCCCGAGGTCACTTGGGATGAAGTGGATTGTGGGGCCCGGGGCAATTGCGGCTTCAACTGCCTGGCGGTCGAAGCGAAAGCTCGGGCTACAGGTGCTGCTCCACTGTCCGTCGTGCCCCAAGCCGACACTTTGGGCAGAACCCTGCGTTTTGAGCTTGCAAAAGAGGCAAGCAAAAAGCCGCAGAATTATGCTCCCTTCTGGAAAGTGGATGCAGATGCTACTGAAGCCACGGATGCGGGCAAGCCGCCCACCACTTACAAGGCCTGGTGCGAGGCTATAGGCAAGGAGGGCTACTACATCTCAGCGCTTGTGCTCAAAGTTGCGGCAAAACGCATGAAAAGAAAAATTGTGGTCGTCACTCAGAACGAGAAAGACACGTTGGGATATGCAGTGTGCTTGGGGGACAACACCACTGAGCCACCTATTGTGCTCATCCTCAGAAGTGAGCACTACACGCTGGCAGTGCCCAAAAGTGGCAAACAGCTTCCGCAGCAATGGTTGAGCTGCGATGCCTTGCTCGAGTACGATGGTCTCCGAGGTGCGGGGCCAAGCTGGTTACCTTCAGACAGTGCCTCCTCTGCCGCTCCTTCGTGGCTCCCAACCAGGTCTGCTGGAAGTCGGCAGACCAAAGCTGGCAGTATTCCAGCAAGCAAGCGCTCAAGAGCGCCCTCTTGGCTGCCAGCTCGCAGCTGGGGAGGCAGCAACAGCGGAGCAGCAGCCACTCTCAAGACTGGACGTCCTGACCTTCCTCGTAGCAAAGGGCCAAGCGCAAGTGGGCCCCAATGCACAGTTGGACATGTGACCTTTGTCAAGAGTCAAGAGATGTTCGAAGACGAAGGTGTCAACCGACTCACCCAGAAGCGGGACAATCACATCTCCAAGTTTCATCCGGACGAGCCTCGTAGCAAGTTTCATTGCATGAGACATCTGGTGCAGATTCTGGTGCCGTCGGCAGATATCCCAAAAGAGCTAAGAGCGTGGACATGCCCCAAGTGCAGAAAAGGGTTACCGCATGCCACCAAGTACGAGCTGCAGAAGAGCAAAACAGCGCATCTCGCCGCTTGCGCTCCTGAACTTTCAGCTCACGTGCAAGGGACCCTTGGCAAAATGGTGGGAGCTCTTGCAAAGCATAGAGCTGAGAAGATGAAGAAGGATGAAAAGAAGGCTAGTGCCAAGGGACACGCCGTTTGTGCCATGTCCATCGGCCGAAAGAAGAGGGTCCGAACGTGTGCCAAGTGCACTATCATGGAAAGATCCCCTCAGCGACTCTTCACGGTGAAGTGTTCAAGCAAAATTCGTCTTGCGCTGATGAAGTCGGCGGGCAGCGCGAGGCTTTGGAAGGCCATTCTCCTTGCTGGAAAGCGGGAAGAGTGGACCAAAGTCTGGGGCCTCACGCAAGAAGAACAGCAGTGGCTCGACGACAGGGATTGCAATGCTGCGGCCAATGGTAGAAACTCCTCTCAAGCAGCTCTGCAAAAAGGACATGCTCTCGCGCTTCTCCCGAGACTGAAAGGCAGTACATCGTGCGCTGCAGGTGTCTTCGACAAGCTCAAGCAGTTGGTAGCGGCGGCGACTGTCCTAGCAGCTTCACTGAGAATGAGTGCGTGTCAGGCGCGAGCAGCGACTGGTGAGCAGCAGGAGCAAACTGTGGCTTAAGGTTCGCAGCAGCCACAGTAGCAGCGTGGCAGCTGGTTGGGTGCAGACGTGCCGCCTCACCAGAAAGGAGCTCTCCAAGCTCGAAACGGCGACGCGACGCAGAGTGAAAAAGCTTCCACCGCTGCAGCGCTCTGTCTGGAAGCGATGCTTGCTCGACGATGGCGACATTGAGTCCAACCCTAGGCCGAGCAGCTCTAGGAGGTGCATCAATGTGGTTTCCATTCATACTAATGGGCGCAGGCATGCGTGGTCGGTGTTGAAGCTGGCTGGGCTGCAGCAATGGGATGTTGTGGTCATGCAAGACACCCGCGTGTCACCGCAGCAACAGGGCAGCTTTGAGAGATCTGCGCAGGGGAAAGGGTACCTCGCCTGGTGCCTACCTTCGACAAAGAGGGGCAAGCTGTGGTATCACGGCCTGATCATGCTCACCAAACGCAACATACGCGTCAGGCAGATTTGCAGCTGTATACAAAAGCAGGAGGGCAGTTTCTAGGACTCGACCTCGGAGCCTTCGCTTTGTTTGGCACCTACATTCGGCCGTGGGACTCTCCAGACCTTGGCGTCGAAACAGCCTTACATGAAAGCATTCACTTGCTGCCGTCTTCAAAAACATGGATGGTGATGGGGGATTGGAATACAGTGCCTCAAGAAAATTTTCTCTGGCAGTACGAGATGGACGGCGGCGCTGTGTGCGCTGGAGTCAGGAGTGATGCACGTTGGGTTCCTAGCCGTTGGAACTCATCTAGATGCATTGACTACTGCGTCACCAACAGTGGTGGATTGGTTCAAGCGACTGGCTCCCTCTCTCCCTCTCTCCCTCTCTCCCTCTCTCCCTCTCTCCCTCTCTCCCTCTCTCCCTCTCTCCCTCTCTCCCTCTCTCCCTCTCTCCCTCTCTCGCTCTCTCCCTCTCTCTCTCTCTCGCTCCCTCTCGCTCCCTCTCTCTCCCTATCCCCCCCTCTCTCTCCCTCTCTCTCCCTCTCGCTCCCTCTCTCTCCCTCTCTCCCTCTCTCCTTCTCCCTCTCCCTCTCCCTCCTCTCTCCTCGCTCCCTCTCTCCCTCTCTCCCTCTCCTCCTCTCCCTCCTCTCCCTCCCTCCCATCCCTCTCGCCCTCCCCTCTCCCCTCACCCCCTCTCCCCCTCTCCCCCTCTCCCCCCTCCTCTCTCCTCTCTCCCTCTCCCCCTCTCTCCCTCTCTCCTCTCTCCCTCTCTCCCTCTCTCCCTCTCTCCCTCTCTCCCTCTCCCCCTTTTCCTCTTCCTCTTTCTCTTTCTCTTCCTCCCTCTGTGTGTCTCTCCGTCACTCTCTCTCTCTATCTCTGTCTGACTATCTTTTTCTTGCTCTCTCTTTCTGTCTATCTATCTATCTATTTCGTAGTTGTTGTTCTCTCCTCTCGCTCTCTCTCTCTCTCTCTCTCTCTCTCTCTCTCTCTCTCTCTCTCTCTCTCTCTCCATGGAGCAGGTTTGAGAATCATGCTTGGGATGTGAGAGTTTTCTCGAGTTGTGCAGCACCCAGTCTCACACTGACTTCATTCTTCAAGCCGTTGCTGCAGCGAATTGTTGGAGGGCAATGCCATGAGAATGCGGTGGTAGCGGAGGGTGGTTGTGAAGCTTGAGGGACGGGGGAGAGTTGTCCTGCGAACATGAACGCTGGTTGTCGAGTCGAAGACTGGTGATGTCAGCGGCATGAATGTGAAATACTTGTGAACCTGCCGCCCGAAGCAGAAAGATCAACTCAGGAACGAGGACCTGGTTCCCAGCAGAATCACCCTGGAGGGCGGTTTGCTCGACAAGGTGAGTGCCTTCGCTGGCATTGACCCGACGAAGTTCGACCCGAACACCTACTCCCAGGCACTTTGGGTGTCCTTTGGAGTTAGCATCACTCCGGTCACGGTCTCGCTTATGCATTCGCGGTGGACTTGCTTGGAAGGTTGGGCCATGTTGGGCCCATAGACGAAGGACAGTTGCGGAACGCGTTTTCGCTCTGAGCCGTGTCTGTCCAGGTCATGAACTGCAACAACCAGAAAGGCTTCCGCTCCAAATGTGGCAATATGACCACTGCCTACAAGGCCGACAACAATTGGGCGATTCGATTCCTAGCCATTCTAAACTGCAAATCCCTGAAGAATCCTTCAGAAGCCTGCATTGTGTCAGTATTGTGTCATTCCACGCTTTACAAAGCTCAGAAGGATCGAATCCGACCCATGAATTCCACTGCGTTATTGAAGGTGTTTTTTCTCGTTCGCAAGTTTTGAGGGGGCATCAGAGGTGTTCTCTTGTCACATCTTCCTCATAAGTCGGTTGGCGTGCCTTTTTGAGTCCTGGGTGATTTTGGAACCAGACGCTGCGTAACAGGCCTCCAAACCACCCCACTTCAGGCTTAGTTTGTTCCCGTGTCAGAAGCATTGAAAGCATTGCTCCGGAACTCCTGAGCACCCAAAGCATGAAAAGCAGTGGTATTTGTCAGCTAAACAGACAGTCCTCCTCAGAGTTGTCGAGCAAACCCGTTAGTCGGATTCGGGGGTCCGTTTGAAAGAGCCCCTGCGGAGTGATGCACGCTTTTAATATTGAAATTGGACGGGCTTTCAGGGGCTCTTGGGCAGTTAAGGTGTCATGAGATTGATGGTGTACGAAAGGAAAAGACCATTTATAAGGACTCAAAAGACGCATGAAAATGCAGTACTCTTTTAATTGGGCTTTTTGTTCGCCCGGTTTTGATTAAAATCATTAAATGTACAAACTATGTGTACGGGCGTAACAAGATGTGTGAATTATAATGGTGAAGAGAGTAAGTGAAGAAGAGAGCGAAGTGAATTCAAGAGAATACAATGGCAAGGTGAGTGGAGGAAGAAGCCTGCTGCCTGAGACGCGGGTCCTCATCTATTTGCAATTCTGGGAGATTTGCGGCTCTGCTTTGCTGGGTCTAGTGAGGAGAGGTCGCTCTAAGCCATGACTCAACTTCAGCAGCTTCGATCTTGTCTGACGCTTCAGGGTTTGAGGCTTCAAAACTCCGCCCAAATGCCAATGCCCCGAACTGTGAGGCACGGTGAGGGTCCTGCCAAAGAACCGAGGCAACATTTGGGCAGTGGAGTTCGGCATCGCCTACCGAGACTGCCTGGATGCGGCGAACTCCACAGCACCCATATGATACTCCCGAACCATGCGTCCAAAGAGGCTCTCGCACACGGGCTGGCGCAAAAGAGGTCGGGTTCACGGCAAGTACTTGTAGCGGCGAGGGGAAGGAGCTGGCGGGTCTGTTGTACTATGATCGCCTTCTGACAGCCACGCTTAAATATGGAGTCTTTCCACTCAGGTTTATACTGAGTATACTGAGGTCCCGAATGTAGTCCGCCTACCACCAACTTACCATTGCCCACATGATAAGTCTACGATCCTCCATCGGCTGTTGTGAGAGCGCCAGCGCAGACCCACACACGGAGCCCAGTTCATTAGTGGTTTTGCACAAATGCCATTTTGGCAGAGCTAAAGGGACCGAGGGTGCTTGGAGCACGATAGACTTGGAACTTGCAGGGTCCGCAGGGCACCAGCTCGATCGCATGGCTCGGGCCGGGGTTTATAGGCGTGATGTCAGCTACTTCGGGGCAGGGTTGTGGGGTGGGGCAGGGGCGTGGGGGTGTATTCTTTGCATGTCTCCTCACGCGCGTTAGAGTAGGAATGGTGTTCTCGGAACTAGTGAGTCCACTGCAAAGCCTGAACCTAAGCCCCTAAACTATGAACCCAAATTCGGTCCCTGCCTTTGGCAGGTGGCGTTTAACGCTGTGTGTTGGCTGACGTTACCTGCAGTGTAATGGGCCCTGTGTTTTCAGAACGCGGAGCCATGCAAGCTTCGAGAAGTGCACGAGACCGAGGCAGAGAGCACGACTTCCACCCGCAAACACCCAAAAAAAAAGCACGTCGGGCCTAAGCATGTAATTTGCGACGTTCCAAGTCCCCTCGAGGAAGATCGTCTGCGGGCGCCGCGGGCGCAAACGAAGCTAAGACCCTTGCACACTTAACGCAAGAACCCTTAGTGTTGGCACACTCTTGGGGATCTAAACATAGCTCAGCCCCCATCATGCCATCCGCCAAGGCGGCCAAGGCGTACTGAGGTGCTTTGCAGGAAGGCGAGAATCCGGAGTTCTTTTGTTTTTGCCTTCGGTCGGTATCCATGAAGATTGCTGCAGTGCAGGTTGTGGTGCTCTAGGCTTCCGAAGATGATGTAAGTCTAGAATTTGATATTGCCACAGACATCCGCAGATTGTTTCGGGGGCGCAGGAACCCCGCTGTATCGGCAACTCTCCATGTGCACCTCAGTCTTTGTGGAATCTTCATGCGCCCGATTCCTGTCCTCCACTTTCTGCGGTGGGCTGTCTCCGTAGTAGCAGCCTCACCTTCACGAAGTGGGGAAAAAGTCGGGGACGGCCTCGGCGCTGCTATCACAGCAACGGCGCCAAGCAGAAACCCCGTCCCAACATGAGGTTTCAGGTACATGTTTGCCTGCTTCAGTGATTCAGATTTAGATTTAGCAAACACGAATATTGCCTGCCTCAGATCTGGCAATATTTACTCCTCACTTTCCATCTAGCCTCCTGATCAAGCTCCTTCACCACCTCTCACCCGGGGATTTTTGTCCGACGCTACAACAGATGATGCCGTACTGAGAACGACGTCCTCCCAAGTATTTGCAATCTCCCAGGTGGCTTGCAAAACTAGATCGCAGCAAGTAGCTCCAGCAGACTTCGTGTGCGTGCAGGTCGCAGGCTATGCAGTGCCTGACCGGTACCGAGCTCCAAATAGATCATCTCACAGTCTCACACTCCATACTTGTATACCGTGGTCGACTTTGACTCGTTCGACATACTCCCATTTGCCGTTGCAAGACCGTGTTGTGCGACCTGATAGGACAAGAGGGGTATGCCCAGCTCCCGGCTCTGTCCTGCTTTTTTCGGGTCCTGAACGGACCTGACCACTCAGCAATCGGCACAATACCAGCGAGAAAACACTTGTGTGCTGCTGTGTCCATTTCGAATGCTGAATCTGGAAGCCTTTCGTCATTTTCATGGACAAGAAGGTCAGTTACACAAATATTTCCCTCGGCTGAACTTGCACGGCCCTCGTGAACAAGTCTGCTCGAGAAGGTGGTAGGGTGGGGCTGGCGTGTCGTGACCCATGCGACATCTGCCTCCCAACGTAGTGCCACATCACAATGCCTTTGCAGGGACCTCAGCTTCGTGCCAGATTGATTCTTCTTGCGACTCTAAACAGCACGGTGCCTGCGGCATCATGCCTTTCTGTAGGATGCCGAGCTAAGTGCACGATAGCAGAAGCAACTTTTTGTCTCCCCAACAAACCTGACACAAAGCTTTGTGCACTGCCTTTGTCACAGTTGTACAAGTGTCTGCCAGCTGTATGCCTAAGACGCGAAGACATGAGTGAGTAACTTCCATGCGTTCTTCATACGCTTCTTCGGTTGGCTTGGATCCCCAAGGCTTGACGACAAAGAGCCCGACAAGGGTCAGGCAAGGCTGGGGGCCCAGAAATCAGAAGAGAAGCGGAGGGCGTTTGCAGGCTTCTCAGCGGCTTCTCCGCCAGCTTCCGGATTTGGCAGTTTGGGGTTTGGGGTCTTCAGAGTTTTTAGAAGCGTGCCAGGTGCCTCTACAACGTGATCGCTTGTGCATGTGGTGCATCAGCTCACAGGTTCGAGTGACAGCCCTGGCAGCCCAGGTCAGGAAGCCGATTCAAGAGCTGGGGACGTTTCTTTGAGGAGGTACGTGTGCTGACCTTAGCCTTCTTTTTGTGAAGGGAAGGGCCTTGGAAAGAGTGGTTGTGATGGTCATGACGCTCGCGATGCTCTCCATAGCATAGCATTCCATAGCATTCAATGTCTCCTGTCGACTTGCTAAGGCCAAGATTCCGAAGGTCGGGAGCCTTGGGCGAGTCAACAGTAGCTTCATGAGAAATCAACACCGTGGGTTTGGCTTGAGACCTCACACAGTGGTGTTGAGCTTCGAAGTGCAGCGGTGCAAGCAGAGCTGAACACCTGTCCACATCTGCTTGGCCGAGAAGGCTGAGAAGGCTCATGGCACGGATCTGAGGCCAAACGTATCACACCGTTGGGTTACAGCTCGAGATCTTCAGCACCAGCCTGAGAGGGCTCCTCCGAAAGACTTGTCTGTTGATGGCAATCCATCTCCCGAGGTTTTCCAGGTGCCTCTAGGTGCTTACCAGCTGGCAGTGCCTCGTGATGAGAGTCAACTTGAGCACAGAAACGAAACCCTCAGAGTTCCCTCAGATGTCGAATGCTCGAGACACTCAAGAATCCCAAGTCCTCATATTCAGGGAGTGGGGCTGCGAAGAACCGCTGCTGAAGAGGTGGCGCGAAGCTCTGCGAGGGAACGGGCCGGCTTCGGAGAGAGGTGGTACTTCACCGTGTAATTCAAGGAGTTCGTGTTTCCAGGATTGCAAGTTACACGGCTCAGGAGCTCCAGCTTGTAGGCCTGAAATACAGGGCAAGGTCCGGGTGGAACTTGAAGTTGCTATGAACTGCATCGATTACACCTGCATGGTGGAGCAAACGCAAGTGGGGATGCATCTCTTCAGATCATGCAATGTAAGAAGCCATGAGTCGTCATCACCACAACTTTTAAGTTGCGTCAAGGCCGGCCTGTCGCCGCATGCACGGTCACCACGGCGTCGGGCAGAAGGGCCGGCGAACTCAGCATCACTCTCGTGCGCATGTTCCGGAACCGGACTGTGAGACGAGTGCGCTTGAATTCATTTCGCAAAAAGCATGGAGCTTAAAACTGCCGAAGTTTCATTCACCCGTCCTCTTGACGGGGTTCATTGAAATGCGTAGGCCGCACCTTGCAGGGTCTCTTGAGCAAAATCTAGCAAGACGGGTCTTGTCGTTTAGCCCGCATCCTGGACTCCCTCCGCGAATTGTAGGCCCCGCCAGCACATTCTGAATTCTTGTTGAAAGGGCGCTTCCTTGGATTGGGCTGATGTTGAACATTGTGAGCCTTGTCGAAATTCCCTCCTGGGCTCAGAGTTGTAAGTGAGTCGGCCCAGGTGCCCTTACCACGGAGGCGAGCTCTGGACTCTTTACGGTTGTTCCTTGGTGCATGCTCTTGTTCAGAGGGTTGCACCTACAGCATCCACAAGGTTAGGGTCAAACCACCAGAGGACCGGTGAACCCAAATCATACCCAAACCCTCCTGAGATGCTCGGAACCTGCAGGGGGAAGCTCTGGCGCGAGCCGAAGCTGTCAACCCAGTTTTTTCGCACCTGGAGCTCCGCGCGCGCCTGGCCTTAACAGGTCTCTTTCTTGGATGTATAAGGGTTGGAAATTTCGAGGCTGTAGAGCATGTTTGAGGGTGGGGAGGTTTGAAAAAAAGAAGCGAGCTGACTTCAATGGAAAATGGCCTAAGACCTCGCATGAACATGGGGGTTATAACAATGCAGAGCAACGCGAGCCCTTTTGCAAGCAGAATGAAGAGACGGCTACAGCGGCTTTTGGAAGCCGTCAAGTGAGCCTAAGGAGAAGCGTTCTCCGTCTGGCACCTCGCTGGGATCTGGCAGCCACGCTGAGATGCTGATGTGCACGCCGCGTGAGCTGCATGAGACACCGGGGCTCCTTCACCGCATCTGGCAAGGTTAAGGTTGGGCCAAAACCCCTTCCGTTCATAAGAGGATGAGATTTGCTATTCCGCTGCAAGATTGGGTCAGGAGCCCACCGTCAGTTCATGTCAGAGCACTCAAACCACCGTCTGAGAATCTGAAGCACCTGAAGCAAGGTTCTACATGGAGGGCCTGAGTGTCGACTCGACGCCAACAACAGAATACCGCTTGAGCAGCTTCTCAAACTGCTCTAGCCCGCCTGTGAACGATGAGTCTTCGTATGGCTCCTCATTCATGAGGGTATCCAGCCAGGACAACTGCAAGGAGGCAGCACACGTTTTCTCAATGTGTGACATGTTCTTGGAGGCATGTTCGAATTGTTCGCCTCCGCCTTGCCTTTTGCCTCCTCCAGGTGTATTGCCTCTACGCTTCACCGTTGGGGCATCCAGCCATCAATGTGAGGCGGGCGCAGCTTGCTGTCGCAAGGCATGCTGAGAGACAAGCCCAGTGCAGCTATGACGAGCCCTGCTGTGCCCAGGTCAGAGGTGGAGACCATCCAGGAGGCCTTTGAAGCTACCCGCCTGAAGGAGGAACGGACGTGAACCTGAAGCGTGAGCACGCACGAAGTCGGGCAGAAAGATGCAGAAAGCTGAAATCCAAATTCTGAAGTCTGGCTTTTCGCTCTAATCTCAGGAATCTGCCTCGGGAACCCGGCTAAACGTGGGAGTCGCCACGGTGCAGTCGCTCTCGCCACATGTCGGCAAAGGGTGCTTTGCGTTCTCTGCACACAAAATGCATAGAGTAATCTGCGTACTGTGAAGGGGGCACCGATCCGAGGAAGCTATTGACTTTGGCCAAGTCACAGAAGGGACTCGTCCTGCACTTGTCGGCCCACTCGATCCGCTCCGACAAGGCCTTGTGACAGTCTTAGCCAGGCAGGCAGGTCGAAGGTTCGGGTCTCTGGCAGAACCACACCACCCTCAGAAACTCGGAAGCCCGTTAGTGGAATTAGCTGCCAAGCCACTTGCTGTAGCTCGCACACCTCATTTTACTTTTGCCAAACAGTGTGTGCAGATAGTAGAAGCAGTACATGTTCGAAGCTCAACTCCCGCCGCAGTCACGAGCTTGCGTCTCGCCCAGTGCAGAACTAGGTATCGTCACTCTGAAAATTCGGATCATTGAATACTTGGCGTTGCCTTTTGAGCAGTAATCTTGGTGCTCTTACACTGTGTGAGGTTTTTGCTTGTAACTGAAGCATGTTACGACGGAGTATGGCTCAGAATCTGTATCGAAGACCACCTGCAGATGATGTGTGGCAAAAGTCCCGCAATATCAGTCAACAGAGCCCCAGATGCTGACCTGCCAGGGTGATGTGGGCCTGGTCTTGGAAGACTCTTGCGGGAAGGCCTTGACTGCAGCCGGTGTAGAAAGTGTACACGGCCTTCACGAAGGGTTTCTTTCTCTTTCGTTCAGCAAGTCGTGTTTGGGCTTAAAAGGGAAGGCGAAGGGATCGCCCGAATTTTGAGAGGTTCGGGCCGATAGCATTGGCTGTTGCAGTTTCTGGGCTTTCACATCCTCTCACCAGCGAGACATCTTGCGATTGAGCCAGCTTCAAGCAGAGCGTAGCTCGCGAGCAGCTGTAGAAGATCTCGGACAAAGCGTGAAGCTCTTGAGATGAGACCTGAGCAGGAAAGGCCACGAACAGTCGATGAAACCATATACAAACACTAGATCCGACGAGCCGTCGAAGGCGCATGTCCTGTGGAAGAAGCGGCTGGAGGAGTGCTGCCTGTCAAGATGTGCATGCATTTTAACTTTGAACGGCTTTGTCTTAGCATTCCTTGGAATAGGCCACATGGAAGGTTTTGGTTCACGAATCCTGACTGATAAGTCTTCACATGATCTCCTGGAACCTCGCATCATGCATGCAAGTCGTACACCACTCTCTGACGGCGGCTACTGCAAGACTGCGTTTTGTGTTTAGTACTGTGTGACCAGAGACACCCTGTGCAGCCGCTTCAAGATGCAGAGCTCGTGCGATGGACCTTTGCTCCAATTGATGATGAATTCAACTGCCACCGCTGGCCCGAAGACAGTTGTTCGACGACGCTTCTTGCTTCAAAAGTTCAAGAAGCTGAGGCCTTCATCGAGAAATAACCAACCAGACACCTGAAACGATGTTGAGACTCCGACCTACGCTGTTCGGAGGAGATTCTGGGCATGAAGGAGAGTGGTCTTCGAAGTGTGTCCCTGTGGGTGCCTCAGAGCACGTGGCAGCTCCTTCCATGCAACCCTACAAGGTTAGACTTGCCGAAGGAAGCTGGCAATCATTGCACTGTTCGTAGACATCTTTCAGCGGTTTAAGACTAGTAGGGCGCATGGGTGCTCCTCGCACAGAGTTTCAGTCTTCCCCCCGGGTCTCAAGAATCTAAATAGGGTATTAACGAAGTGCAACAGCTTGATGTCTTGCATTCTCTAGGGTGTTTAGTTTGCCCGACCGGGACCTACGACGGCTTCAAAAGGTTATTGTCAGTGCACACCTGGCCCGAGTAGCAATCCAGAAAACCCTCACAAGAGAACATCACCTCCACATCAAAACAAGTCGCGTCTCAGGCTGTTTCTGAGCACCTGCTGGTCGCAGGAGCTAGCCCAAGCCTGGAGCTCATGCCGGGGGTGCTGTGGGGGCAGCTAGCGGAGCATCCAAGAATTCCCACACGATAGGCTTGCGCTGCAAGGTCGCATGAACACGTGGTGTTGACTGCCCTGAGACCAAAGAATCCTAGGCCCTGACTCCCGATCTGTGCTTTGGGCAGGTGTTTGTTGAGTGTGGCTGCCCGCACGTGGTGTGCTTACGAAGTCCCGTCTACGACGTGGCTGCACGGAGGCCGCTTGGAAGGCGAATCAAATTGAATCCCATTGAGGTGTGGAGATGTGGGATGGTGTGGGTCATGGGTTTGAGGTCACGCCGAATGTTCATGAGCTCCAGAGCTACAGTTAAGCCGCCCCCCCCCACCCTCAAAGCCATGCCGTCCCTGGTCCTTGTTAACGCCGGGTACCCCCGGAGAAACCCGTGATAGTATGACAGCGATGAACCGAAGAAGCCCAGAAACTTGACTGCATCGGCACAAAAAAAACAAACTCGCCAACTCCTACCGAGACGAGAGATGCCCCTCCCCGCAAGACCACTTTCTAGATACATCTTGTGTTTCCGAGGTTTTCTCAGCAGTTCTACCTTTCTTTGGGAGTGGGCGAGTCGCTCCTCTCCGCTTGGCAGACAGCACGGAGCGAAAGGGCTGCTGTTGTTTGTCGGAGGGGATCAGGCGTTTGGACACGTTTCGACCCAGTAGCTTAGGCATATGCATGGGTTTCTTGAGTTGCGCATCCGACTCTTCGGCAGTTCAACTGTTCAACTCGACTCTTTGTGCCTTTCACAGGAGCTGGCTTTGCACTGACTCCAAGCCTGAGCTTGCTGAGCAGGCCGGAAGTAACTTCAAGTAAGATGAGAGCCCCGAAGACTCCTGCATAAAAACTGGCGCTTGGTGAAATTTGTGTGACACAGAACTCATGTTTACCGGAGTTTTTTACAGCAAAGCGGCTGTTGTTTTTGTGGTTTGGAATCGTATGCCCGGCGCGCTAAGTACAGAAGCCCATGCTGCCTAAAGCCTTCCTTAAGGCGTTTTTTTGCTTGTTTCGTTGCTCGGGAAGCACACCAAGGTTTCAATCGCATTCACAACACCATGCCATCGGACCGAATCAACTCAGATGTGCACGGAAAGCGTTTTTTGCCAGCCCTTGCGCCACTTTTCATCTCATGACAATTACCTTCCCTACTCAGGCCCTGCCCTACTGGTAATACTTCCGAGGCAGATCACTTTGTCCTCTTTGGCCAGCGCGGAGCGGACAAGGCAAGGGCCGAAAGACGAAATCAGTCCGCCAAAGGACACGGCTGTAACCACTGGGGTATAACTGACTTATGTGACTTCTGTGCGAGGGCCTGCCAGCTGTAGCAAGAGGAGTTGACACCCGACGCGAGTGTAGTTCGGGATGGGCTTGGCCGCACAGCTTTTCAGAGAGCTCTTCCTTCCGTGTTGTATTTTGCCTCCGAGCCACCCCTCCTCCAGCAGTAAGACTCAGTAAGAGTCGTTAGGGGGTCGAGGCTTTTTTTCCTGAAAGCCGTTTTCTGTGCAGGATGTATGCAGCCAGATCAGACTTGCTAGAGAATGTATGTCGACACAAGATTCACAAGATACCTCAGAAGCAACACCTGATCCTCCGACTTTGACTTGGTGGTTCAACACCTGGCACTGGCAGCAAAACTACCCATTTACCCGGCAAAGCCTCAGCAGCTGCAAAACTCGAAAACCTCTCATGGCCTGTTGTAACTGGGGTTGGCGCCGCTGAGATTTGTTTCAGTTTTCTTGGGCACGGTTGCTCCATAAAAGCCCGATCCCAAAGGCTGCACAGTGCCCGGTATAGTATCTCTACTGGCAGGTGACTCTGTCGGAGCTGTGTGGCGAAGAGGTCCGTCCGAATATGAAGGGCCTGATGTGGTATGGAAGGTCTTTGAGTCCATACCTCGTAACGTGCAAAATGGCAAAATGCGTGTAACTGGACTCCTTGTTGTCGGTATGGTACTCGGCCGTGGTCGAACCTGTCTTGGCTTAACGAACTTCTCACAGACCTTGTCAGCCTTGTCACTCGTAGTGAAACTTACAGAACGGATACTGCAAGCAATTGCAAGCATGTGTAGTGTTTCTCGGTTTCGTTTCGAGTGCTCGAGGTGCATGAGCTCCCGCTGAGAGATGTTCAACGCAGTCGTTAGTTGTCAGAATCGCGCTGAAAGCACAGGCCCTCTAAGCAAAGCATTCTCCAGTTGCGCAGCAGCGAGAAACAACAAGCAACGACAAGGCTGACAGAGTTGATTGGGGACTGCGCATATCATGTCGGAACCGGCCACCCAATCCGGATGCCAATCGCAGATGTTAGGGTCCGCAGATGAGCCAAGCGAGGCCGACAGGGCGGAGGCCAGCAATCTACGCAAGCTGGAGGCATGTGCTGCAGAATGTTTTAGTTTGGGGGCATAGAGAGTAAATCCAATGATTCTGGGAGGACTCAGAATTCGCTTGTGGGGTGTTTCGGTTGTCACGTTTTGAGCCGCAGCAAAAAAACTCGTCAGGTTGTTTTTCAATCTTTTGAGTGCAACTCCGGCAACCCTGGAGAACTTATCAGAGATGATGATTGATTGTGGGACCTCACGTCCACAATCTTAAATCTCTGCTAATTCCAGCCCAGAGCCATTGTTGCCTTCATGAGTCTAAATGGCATTTAGCAAGGCAGTCTTGAAAACTGTCACTGTCATAGAAGCCTGGAGGCCTAGATTGACTGCCTTGATGATCGACTCTCCAAGGCTGCGTCTCGCTTCCTCGTCGCTGAGTCTCTGATCCCTCCGAGGCACTTCTTGCCATGGTCGCCAATTCTGGTTCGCGCGGACTCCTTTCCCCCAACTAATGTCCCTAGCCTGAAACCGCAGAACTCAGTGTTCTCAGAAAGTTCCTGCCGAAATCGCCACAAAGAATGTTGATGTTGGGTGCAGGCAGGTCTTTATGTTGTGGGTTTTGCTTGGATGCGGAGTTTAAGCTTTCAGGAGAGTATAAAACAATCACCGCGCTGCTCTGAAGTGTGTAAACGAATCTCAAGGCCCCCCAAGCACCTGCCTGAGCCGCCCTTACCTGCGAGGCCGGAGAATTTTCTGGGACGACCGCAGTTCATTCACGAAGCCGTTGGCTTGGAGTCGGGCCAATCAGAAGTAAGGCAGAAGGCATATATAGGGCCATGAGTCGGTTCTGAGGTGTTCTCAGACAGGATCAGCTATGGTGTTCTGCCCGAAGCTTCCTCCCCGCTAGGACGGTCTTCAGCATCACAGTCACAGAGTGTTGACTCACTCGTTGCGCAAATGTCACCTTTTTTTTGCAGTAGCGTGTGTACGGCTTTTGACTACTGGCTCATGCGATATAGTTATGCCCTTGCCAAAGCTCAAAACCGAAGTGCTGCGCAGTCTGGTGGCTTTACTCTCTCACCTCTTGCACCAGACGTAACATGCAGAAAGCATCCAAAGCATGAATACCATGCCATATTGCTTCGTTGACCAGATGGCCGCTGTGAATGGCGACCCGCCACTGACCTCCTTACGTGATGACAAAGACTGAGATGGCAAAGAGCACAGGTCCTTCACCTTCTAAGTGGCCATGAAAGCCGCCGTGCCTGTGCTGTTTGGGGTGCTGAGGCAAGGCCCCCAAAACCCTGGGGGCAGGGGAGGTCTTGCAAGTAAAATCTCCGTTCAGCTGGGGGCAGCTATATGTTTGTAACCCTCAGGGCATTGGAAAGTCGGCTTTTGGCGTGGAGTTCGCCCACTTTGCGACCGCCCCGGGCCGTCCATTCTCGCATCTTTGGCTGCACAGGTTCAAGGTTTCGGAAGAGTCGGATGTGCACTTTCCCGTTCCAAATGAAACGGATGCCCAGGCGTACGTTAGTCGTGTAGCGCCCATCGGTGCTAAGGGGACCTCTGAGGCAGAGAGGCGGTGTGGAGCGGGCATTTCTGTGCACGGGCACCATGTGGTACCAGGTTTGAGATAAGGGCTCGTTAGCCGGACTCGGTGCACCTTGCCCCGAGGCAGTGATCACCTTGACCCAAGATTGAGCTGTAAGGCCGAAGGCCCAATAGCTACTGCAGGCATACAGCAAGCGCTTTACAATGTTGGGGTTTGCAATTCCTTCTTCATGGGCTGACAGCTACTTGAATCATTCAGTTAAGGCGTCTGTGCTTCTTGAGATTGAACCCGCCTGCCGTCTTCAGAACGGCCCAGGTGCTCCTCACAGATTCTCAAAATTGAGTCAAACGATGCCATCAGCGCGGATCTCAGACGTGTAGCGCCATCAGCTGAGAAGGAAGAACTTCAGAACACCCGCACCTGAAGCCCGAAGCCCATAAGATCCCATAAGCTGACAAGCTTGCTTTCGAAGACGTGCTATTTTTGCGGCCTGTCGACGGGTCACCCGATTGCCTTTTAGAAGGCGTGCAAGCAAAAGCCGGACTCCCTTCTCAAGCCCCGAGTGTTGCAGATTTCTTCAGTCCGACGGTCCATCACGAGATTTATAACGAATGAATCGAACGCAGAATGGGCAGAGGCTGCTCCCCCAAGGTGTTGCCCACTTGCTGTTGGACGGCTTGGAGGCCTTGGCCAACCAGCTCGAGGCCTGCATGACATTGTGCATGTGCCTGTGAGCCCAAAGAAGGAGGGGGGACAGGCTGCTCTTGAAGGTTTGCGCGCCGTTCATCGCCGCCCCCAATGGCCCAATGACTCACATGAGCGACCACTTTTATTACGTTGCAGGAGGTTTCTTTTGGCGGAGATAAAAATCCACGTTCATGCCTAAAACCTCGGAAAGCGATAGGCCCCCCCCAAAAGCGATACCCTCAATCTTGAATCTAGTAGTCGTTCTGCAGAAATGTCATGATTTCGTGGTTGGGTCTTATTCCAGGGTGATACTCAAAGCGATACCCCTACGATACCCATCTGGCCACCCGAAGAGCTGGGCAAAGGCCCTGGCCCAGGTTGAGGGAAGTTTAGGATTTGGATTTCTGATTCGAGCAGCGAGAGCTCCAGCTCCTAGAAAAGGAGCACTCTCACTCTTTAGTCTAGAGTCTATAGGTCCTAAAGAAAGGAAACGGGTTTAGGAATTCAGGTGTATTTAGGGGAGGGTTCCAGGTTTAGGATCCTATAAGCAGTAAAGCGATAGGTTTTTGTAGTAGCATTGAGCCAAAGTCCCATAAAGCGATAAGGCCCCCCCCAAAAGCGATACCCTTCGATTTTCTAATTAGCATTTACATAAGATTTTTTGCGGCTGCTCACATGCCTCAGTATGATTCAGTATGTCTCATTGTGTCTCATTCTCATTACATGCTTATGCTCGGATGACCTAAATGCCAGGTGTCCCTGCGACCTTGTTCCGGAGATTCGAGGCTCGAGATTGAAGTTTGGGGTCCGAGCACTTATAGGCCTCAGGCTAAGATGTCACTGCACGTATGCATGTTGGGCACACAAGCAGCGTCAAACATCGTGCAGTTTAAGAGGCTTTGTTACGGAGGTTGTGCGGGTAGGACATTGTGTCAAAGCCAGGATCTCTCAGGCTTGTAGCGAATCGAAATCTCGTTCGTTGGGGCCATAGGAGCACATTGAATGAGCACCTCGAATCGAGTTTTGCAGGAGTTCTTTGTGCTCCTGCCAGTCGGCACCACAGTCTGTAAGGCAGCTTGCTTCCCCTTCTACACGCACACTACTAGCGCGGCTACACGGAAACCCTCCCAAACACTGCTGTGCGAAATTGGGAGGTGCATGGATACACGTTTCGCGGAGCCTCTACTGGTAGCTCCCTCTCTAGGTCTGCATGAAAGTGGGTCTTTTTTTTGGGTCAGACGAAGGAGCTGTCAGCAGGAAGCTTCCGCAGTACTTAGGTTGTCTAACTTTGCTGTAAGACGTGAATGCAGATGCAGAGTCTCAGCCATCGTAGATCTGAGCGGAGCATTCAGTACTGTGCCGGCAGCCATACCTGCTCAAGCTGTACAGAGCAGCGTGGCGTGATACTTGAACCGTGCGGCGCATTACATGTCCTGCACATGCTCACTTCAAGACAGAGCTCTATACATTGTATGCAGGCTTCTAGAGCGTGACAACAAGATATGCCTGGCTTCTCTATGAGCTTGCAATTCCTGCTCGTTCCATAACTAGTCCACAACGGCAACGGTATGTTCATTCCAATGTCACTGTGAGACACTCTGTTCTCGAGTAAAGTTGCCAGCCGGATCTCGCTGGCAGAACGCCGCACCAGCCCAAGGATTGGGCAAAGGAAGCTGCAACGAGCCTCTTGCATCAAGGTTTTCTCTTGACCCTCCAGAAAGATGGGGCGCCTAACGGACCTAATGGTGTTCCCGATCTTCGGGTTCGAGCTGTTGAGGATTGTTGAATATTGTTGATTGAATTACATGACCCCCCCGGATGCCTCGGTGTGAGTCTGGCGAGTATACTTCGTCTTTGAGAAGAAAAAATTGGTTCGCAAACCTTGTTCGTCGAGTCAGAGACCTGTCAATGATTGCAAACCTGTCAGGAACAAGTCTCGCACGATGTCTCGCCCTGCTTCATATGATCACAACATGACAATGCGGCGTGCTCTTGTTACCAGAAGCCCGCACTGAGTCATCACGCACAGGGAACGAACTGTCGGAGTGCGGTTCATCTGGGGTACTGTACAGAAGAAGGGCAGTTTCGAAGCTTCGCTGAGGTCATATGACGAATGGTGGCCATGACTCCGCCCTTGCCTTACGTAGAATAACAGCTTCTGGATGCTTGCTACCAAAGCGTAAACGAAAGAGTTCAGACCTCGTTCGTGAACGAGAGTCGGGGCACAGGTTGCAAGCCACTTGTCCATGTCCTGGGCCACCATCCGCACCTGCGCTCGAGGTGAGGCATTTTGAGGACGTTGATGGGCCCGGAGTTGTACAGATGGAAAGCTCAAAGAGGCCGCCGGTGAGTGCTGAACTTGAACTGTGGAACTTTGCCCAGATGACTCGGTCTTGGGTTCGCTGAAGGGCCCTTCACGTATTCAGTTATGGTGCAATACCAGCTCGATCGATCTAGTCTATCGATCCATATCCCTGTCGTCCTCTGGATCCCCTCACACCGTTGAACTTTGGGCCCGAATGTGCCCATTTCAAAACGGCTGTCCAAATTGTTTGGGGTCCCACCAAAATGGAAGCAACTTTCATGAAGCTGTTTCCTTCGCATGGTTGCCGTAGGCTTACCTCGATGGTTGTGCTCGTAGTCGGCGCGGCGTCCATAGCTTCAAGTCTTCAAGAAGGGTTGCCGCACAGGCCGGCCGATCCAAGCGATCCTGCGCTCGGGCTCGGCGTCTTCGTCCAGGCCTGGTCTCACGAAACGACAAGCCCGTTGCCTTGGTTCAAGCGTCAAGCTGTGAGACCTGTCCATGTTGTCAATTCCACTTTCCCTACCAGGAACCTGCGAAAGAGCAGCAAAGTCTCTCAGCCACCTGCCGTTGATTGATGTAGCGCTGAGGTGGGAGGAGCCATAGGACGTATGCTAGGATCAAGCCAGAAGCAGCAAGAAGTAGCAAGAAGTAGGTCCAGGTTTGGCATGGGTCCTAGTACATCACTTGCAAATGTTGCAGTTAGCACTACTGTCACTGCAGGCAACCTCCACGAAAAAGCCCCCGAACCTCGAAATGGAAGCTTCTGTGTTTTTGCAGTTCGGAACATCAGCCCCGAAGAAGAGATGCCTCAGGATGACCATGTCGATGTGGAGGTGATCGGGTCCTCTTCGCGCATGGGATCTAGCCAGTCATTCTCCACAAGTAGCTCCAGATAGCAAAGTGGGTCCGAACATGCATGCAATCTCATCCTCAAGAAGAGTCGCTGTGGACATGCATCCTATGGTGTGCGCAGTGATGTGCAGGGTGGACGTAAACTGAACTTGTGGGGCACCGGACAATATGCGTGGAAGGTCGTTGTCGCGCTCCAGAATTTGACCTGGTCTAGCACTGCCTGCTGGGTAAAGGCGCTAAAGATAGAGCTCTAAAGATAAGGAGCCATTACGCCTTGCATCTGCATAGAATTGAACATGAATCCTGCCTGGCGAAGTTGGAACCTTTCGCCATTCACACACAATGTGGTTTGTTTTGTTTGGTGCTCGGAAAAAGGTCGGTGCTATGGAGAACCTCCATTCTTCTGAACATTGTAGCTTCTCACCTCCTTTCGACTCTAACACTCCTCCTGAAAACAGGAGGAATGGGCACAGCTGGATCCAACTTCTGCAATCTTGGCGGCCTGTTCTGCAAGTAGCGCATTTGCAAGGTTATGTTCAGGGCAGTCTGAAAGGGTCCGTGGGCTGCCACCGCCTCCCGCCGGAAGCTTGCACAGCATCTCCCTGAGCTGAGGAAGCTATGAACTCCAAGGAGTCTCAGGCAGACGCCCGGGAGCGAGGTGAACGAGGTGAACGAGGCGAACGAGGCGAACGAGGCGAACGAGTGGCAGACTACTCAGACTTTGCCTCCGCGCTCCTTGGAACGCAGTCAATCAAGCGGCTCAAGCGATTCAAGCAAGCAACGCCTTGTGTCTTTTCGAATTCTGAAAGCGCACTGCAGTCGCTCATTCTCTGCACAAAGCACACTTCGCCTGCGCAGGGGATTGGTGCGACCTCCGGGTTTGGACGAGATGGAGCGCGGTTTTTGCAGCTGTGCCATCCGGGATTCAGTCGATTCAATCTCTTAGACTCTAAGGCGTTTGCTGTGCGGCGCATCCCATGCACAAAGCTCGGCACTCTTGAGCCCCAAGCTTCCAGGCCTCTCTTGAGCTTTCACCAGCTTTCACCCTACTCTTGCAAACTCCTACTGTGCCAAGACTTGCTGACATAAAACGATATCCAAACAGTCAAGGGGGAATAGCGAGGACATGTGAAGCCAACAGCTCAGAGCAGGAAGACCCCAAACAAGTCACAGTAAAGTTGGTGCCGATCCCGCAGGATGCGCCCGCTGAGCTACAAGAAAGCTACCAGGGCTATTATGGCTTTCAATACGGCTACTTGACCTGATAGCTGGGTTTTGCATCACGGGTGTTCGAGTTCTGGTTGAAGAGATCCTAAGTCACTGTTTTCACTGTTGAAGGCCCAGAGGATGCTCAAGCAGCGATCGAGCTAAAGGTTTAAGGTCTCTGTTTGACCCGCCTTGCTCTCTGGGTTCGGCCCGAAGCCCCCAGCCTCGAGTTTTTCTTCTGCTCCTTTGGGTCTCACGGTCCAAGAGCTCAGGACATCCCATGCCGGGTCAAGTCTCTGAACCTCGGCTGAAATTTTTTCTTTAGCTTCAGAGCTGAGCAAGGGTTCTCGTTTGACTCGTCTTAGGTTCGATGGGAGTAGCGCGAGAGAGAGAGAGATATATATATACATATATGCATCTCTTTCGGAAGAGAGAGAGAGAGAGGGGGCCTTTTCGGGGTTCCCTTCATGCCCAGCAGAAGAAGCAGAAGAAGCAGAAGAAGCAGAAGAAGCAGAAGAAGCAGAAGAAGCAGAAGAAGCAGAAGAAGCAGAAGAAGCAGAAGAGGCAGAAGAGGCAGAAGAAGAAGAAGAAGAAGAAGAAGAGGAGAGAGAGAGAGAGATCTTTTTACTAGCGCGCCCCTCGGGGCAGCTCCCCTTCGGGTGGGCGAAGCTTGTGTGGAGACGATTACGACTGGTATTATGGCCTGTGCATCCAAAGCCATATCTGGACCACTATACAGCATGGGGCATCTGCTCCCAGGCATCCTGCAAGGTGTCAAAGAACAGTCTGCGCTGTATTGCTCTGGAGGGCCCCTCTGGCCCCTCCAGATGAGTGGGTACATGAGGGCACCTGCAGCAAGCGTGCTAGTGCTAGACTGCGACAGTGTACGACATGTACTAGTATCGTGCCGAATCTGCGGCCGTGGCTTTGACGGCTTTCGCTTGGGCTTTCATGCAGGATGGTGGGATGTATGGCATCGCAGCTGCATCTAGTTTGTTGTCGGCTTAGGAGAGTTTGCCGCCCACTCCCGCAACATCAAAATCTGCTCCTCAAAAGATACACTGTATTGTACACGTCTGTACACGCATGTACATGCTACACTTTGCCATGTGCAGAGGTGCTGATGGCATGAAACACAAGCAGCATGATTCGCGACCATGTCACCCTGTGACTATCTGCGCAAAGTAACAGGGCAGCGGGGCAGCTTTAGTTGAGCGAAGATAAAAGCAAAAACATCCGATAGGCAGACCCCATCAGATTTGAATGGAATCATCAGGCCTTTCGCCCGCGCATGTGCTTGGCTAGATGCCACATCCGAATCGCATTCCAGAAGCCAACAGCACAGCCCACGCATTCTCCACCCCAGAGATAGCTGTCCCAGTCGCCTAGCTCGATCATTCCAAGCACGGCACTTATAGATTCGAGATCCGTCAGTGGCTCCGTCCGTCTTGTCGCCGCTGAGGAACATGGCAGGCCCCCAGCTATACCTACTATGAGGACACCTGGCAGATGCAGGTTGCAGACGGGTTTTGACAGACTGAGGCATTTCTTTTGCCTCAAGCCATTCAAACACGAGACAAGGTTTTCATTTTGTGGGTTTAAGTGCAGGCCTATCGCGGCCTTGAAAAAGTGCTTGCCTCTGTACAGGATCTATACTTTCTTGCCCACATTGGGCTCTACAATCGTGCTTCTCGCTTATACCTTTCTG